CCAAATATTTAAAATTTAAATCATGGATTAGTTGTAAGCTTATCTCATTCAAAATAATAGCAAAATAAGTTCTAAATCATTGTTTGTTTTTTTAATTTGTAACGTTATAGCAAATAAATATACCTTGGGAAATATTAGGCTCCCGAATAAAAATATTCATTTTTATTTGTTATATTGATCTATTTAATTATTCTAGATCAATTAAATAATTGGGAAATAACAAACAATTTTTTATCAGAATTAAATATATTAACTAACCATGCGCTTAAAGTGAAAATACGTTTATTTCATATTTCTGTAATGATTAAAGAATTGTGGCGGTTTAATATATATCCAAAGGTCACATATATCTTAACTTGTGATTATTTGAATGGTAAATTCATAATCTTTTTAATTGTATGTTAGTGTACCCAACTTCTGAAATATGCAATGAATTGTTTTGCTGGATTCAGCTTAAACCATGGACTAATTAATGAAAGACACTGCTCCAACATTAGCTCTAAGTTCCTATGTGGAATTTCAGATTAAGTTACTTGTAATGCAAATAATGGTTGTTCATGGTTACCTATTTGTTCATTCTATTGGTTGTAGAAATAAAGTTAGTTAGTACCTCCTGATCTATTAGAGGCAACTAAGGTACTTATACTGATAAAAAATTTCTGTAATTATACTGAAACTAACTGGTGGTACGTGTGGTATTTAAAGTAATCCAAGTAATTTAGGTATTCAAAGTAATTCAGGTACCCCAAGTAATTCAAATACTCCAAGTACTTCAAATCAAATTCTTGCTATCAGTTTAATTACTATAATTGCTTTAATTTGATTGGCTAAATGATATTTTTAAGTTAAAATTAAGTATTTGTGTATTTTTTATTATTTGTGAATAATAAGAACATCATCAAAAGCTCAGTCTTTTAACTATCATATGTAAGCATTATCAAATTTAATTCACTAATTCATTTTTCTTTATCATCCCTCTTAAATTCGTTTAAAACTACCCTCCCCTTAAATTGCTCATAAAATATTTTAAAGAGCTATATATATTTATATAAAAGTTTTATTAAAAGATTTTGTTAGTCTAGGAGAATATAAAGTATATTAAAATTGTTTTCAATCTTTTTATTTATTTTAGACAATAATATTCATAAAATACTCAAATTTTTTTTGAGAATCTTAAGTATCTTAAATTTCTATGTATGATATATCTATTACAAAATTATTTTTAACATTCTTTGCATTTTTATTTTTAAATATTAATTTTCTAATTGATATATTTTATAATATCAAATTATTAATTCTTATTTAATTAAATAATGATATATTTACATTAATTATTTAATATTTTTAATTGTATTTATTTAAAAAAATACTAATTTTTGTGTTAATTATTAAATGTGTAATTAATTAGTTGTAATATAATCACTTATGCATAATTTATAATAATTTATAAATTTTATCACTAAATTTTTTAAATTAATTTAATTTCAAGATTATAAAAAAAATTTAAAATCTAAATTTTTAAAACAATAATTTATTTTATTAATCTAATTTAGTTTTAGCTTACTTCATTTAAGCAACCATAATAATTAAATTTTATATAAGTGGATTCAAATGAATTAATTAATCTAACTCATTATTTTTTATAAAGCAAATATGTAACCTATATATATATTTCAATTTATATATTTAATTTGTTTAGCATTAATATCTATTTCAAGATTAATTACTTAAGACAGAAATAAATAAAAAATAAATATTAATTTAGTACTTATTAGAAAGCAATTATGCTTGTAATTTAATTTAGTAGATCTTAGAATTCAAAAATATAAAGTAAATATATTAGATATTTATTAGTCAATAACTTTTTATTTATTAATCTATTTACAATTAAATTGGAAGTATTTTTAGACGACATCCACTTATTGAATTAAACTAATTAATGTAATTATAATGCAAAATTAAGTATTTGGACATTGTTTAATAAGCGTTTTTTATGTTAAGATGGTTTTGTAATAAGGATAATTTTAACAAAAAAAATTATTTTGCATTATTCCTTATTAAAAAAATTTTATGAATTATTAAACTAGAATTATAATGAACTTCAATAATTCTACCCCTTCCTCCCCTATTAATAAATTAAATTGATGTATCTTTACATACATTATTTTTTTAAATATAAAATATCATATTAGATAAAATTAAATTCAATTTTTTGTTACTTTTCCCAATGTTTATGTACATAGTTTTATCCTTATTCCTTATTTACATGATCAAGCAATTTACCTTAAATTTCAACTAACAGCTGAGAAATAAATAAATATGTATTTATACCAAAAAGGAATTTATTTACAAAAGCTAAAAAATAAATAAAGTAATTATTTATTTTCTATCTTACTTAATATATAGATATATTATTAAATATTTTATTTTATCAAGGTAATCAATCAGATTGTATTATAAACATCATTATATTCAGTTAATGAAAATTAGGTGTTCAAATTGTCAAAAACATTTAATAGATTAAAATCTAACTAGATAGATGATGAAAATTTATTTTTTAAAATTTAATTATTTTAATTAATTTTCAATTTCTTTCTTTTGTGTATTTATCTCCATTAGGATGGATTATCTTGAAGAAAATAATTATCTAAAATTCTAATATTAAAAGTAATATGAGTTTAATATTTCTTTAATTCTTCTTATTCTTTTATTATTATTTTTTTGGTGTACTATATATAATTTGTTTCTTTTAAATCATTTCTTCTTCATCTTCCTCTAATTAAACTTCTTCTTATTTCTAAGTTTTCTATTTCTTCATATTCAGTGTCATAATTTAACAAAAATTTTTTTCTAATTAGAATTTTTTGCTTCCTAATCTTCTTAATCCTCTTTACTTTGCATATCATTTTCTACCTCCATAAAGAATTTTAGCCTATTTAACTATTTTATTTGGTTATGAAAAAATGTAATTTAACAACTTCAATAGCTTTAACTTATATTGAATTTTTAAAAGATATATAAAATAAGCATGTAAATAAATTCTAAACTAAACCTCCTCTTTTTGCTTTTAATTTCTATTAGCTTGCTTTTTAAATATAGCCAGCCAGCCATTTTGATGCTATAGTTTAGGTGTGAATAAAGCGCTCACTAAAAATTCATAATTTCTTTGATTGTTAATATTATTATTAATAATTAATTTGTAAATTTTTATTTTATAAAAGCATATCATCCATCCATCACCCAGATCTTCAATAATAATTTTTTAGGTTTTTATTATTTATTATACTTTTAATTAATATTAATTTAAAAATTAGCACAATTTTTAATTCTAAATTATATTATTTTTGCAGTCAATTTATTTGAAAAAAAATTAATATGAATCTATTAAAGAATATTAGCTTTGAGAACATTTAGCATTTTGTCTCTATCTAATTAGGCTAGCTTATAAATTCTTAAGAATCAGAGCTAGCTATAGTACATCTTAAGAAACCAAATTTATACTAAGAATTAACAGAGTTTAGTTTAATGAATTGAAATTATAAACTTATTAGAGATATACTTTTGTGTCATTTTATCAGATAAAAGAAAGTATACAAACGTTACATCTGAGAAATTAGTTATCCATAATTAGACATGCGCATATTAGATAGAAAGGAATTAGTTTAGAGTTAGTTTGGATTATTATACCATTTTAATTATAGATTACTTCACTCATTATGTAATGCATTTTTGTTTCAATTAAATATCTTAAAGTTAAACCCTTATTTATTTTGTCAGTCAATATATTCCGAGGAGAAATTATTTCTTATTTAGTTGGCATCACTCATTAGTTTGTAGTAGAAAAATTAATATATTTGAAGAAAATCTTCTTCTAAGTTGAAAAGTATAATAAGAATTGAATTGTAAAGACTGCCTATGTTAAATGCAATCGTTAGTAATGTTTAATGGAAAACCGTTGACATGCAATTTATAGGATGAATATTTACTGTGAAGCTGAGCGTTAATAAGCTTGGCATTATTTTATAAATAAGATTGTATACTAAAAAATTATTTGAATATTATGCTAAAGAGAAAATCTACATACATTCTAGAAATATTTCACTCAAAATTTTAAACCTTATTAATAAAATTGAATTTTATAGCTCCATTAAAATTATCTTAGAATAATTAATAAAGATCACTCACTGCATATTAAAAATGTCTGAAGATACATATATACATATATACATACATACATACATACATACATACATACATACATACATACATACATACATACATACATACATACATACATACATACATACATACATACATACATTTCCATCATATATTATATATGATCAATCAAGTGAACAAATCTTAATATTAATTTGAAAATTAAAAAAATTAAACTTACTGAATATTTTGAATTAAAATAATATTGTCATTATATAAATATACTTGTTACTCATTAAAATAAATGACTTTTAATTTAATCGCATTTTATTGAAAATAATCTATCTATGCACAGATTGATTTGCTTGTATCCGAGCAATATGAGTATGACATTTTCTAGCTAAAATTATTTCAAGTTATCAAATATTAAATAAACTAAACAATAATTAATAATAGTACTACTATCTTATTATTTCAATTTTCTTCGAAACTAAATTTAATATTGATGTTTTATAAGAAACAAATACCAGAAATTTTTACTTTTGTAATAAAAATCTAAACTCTTTCAATTCTTTAACTTTCATTTTCCTAAATCTAAAATTCTGATTCAACTTTTTTATGCTTTCTTATTTTACTAGTAAAATGAATAACCCAAAAATATTTTAATTGATACCAGCGATCTAATAGAACTTCTAAAGTTATTAATTTAATCTAGTAAATGGGTATGTATGAAGGGGAAGAAGAAAGGCCCTTATTTTTATTTATTTCAATTTACTTCGAAACTAATTAATATCGTCATAAACAAATTTAATTTAATTTCAAATAAATACCATAAATTGAACTCAAAACGCGTTATGTAAGTAGAAAAATACTAATTAGCTTCGAATCGAAAGAAAAGAGCTAAAAAGAAATTCAATTTATTAACATTATTGATTTTACTCAAAAAAAAATATTTTAACTATTGATATAAGTAAAATAGTATATATTAATAATAGTTATAGTATTTATAATTTTAGGATCACCATAATAGTTTAATATATTGATTAATATCCTCTTTTTAAATATATGAATGATATTTCACAAAAATTTTCTTATTGAAGAATAATCCCCTAAAAAAAGTAAATTTGTGGAAGAAAAAAGTTATATAAAATGTACAAGATTGAAACCTTGTATTTGGTTTAAGAGTGGTCCTCTTAACAATAAAGTGAAAAAATAAAACAATAAGAACAATAAAACCAATAATAAATAATAACAAGAGGGTAAGAAAATAAAATTAAAAAAAAAAAGTTTTAAACAAATAAATTATACTCATAAATACACCAAAAAATTTTATATTTTAGTGAGTTCGCATTCTCGCTCACTATCCATCCTTTATATCCAATCTCTAGTTCCTACTATATTTTTAAGTACATATTTTAAATAGAAATATTAAGATTTAATAATCAAAGAAAGTTATTGTTCTTTTTATTTACTAAAAATTAATTAAATTTTCATTAATTGCTATTCAATATTTTTGAAAAAAAATAAAGGATGTAATAGATAAAATATTTTAAAGAATTAGAAGAAGTAATTATTTATTTTTTTATTAACATACTTTAAATTTATTTTTACTAATATAAAAAGATTTTAAACTCTTCACTTTAATCTTATTAGGTTCTCCATATTAATCTGAAGTATAATTAATTTATAGATATTATAATTATTATTATTATTAATATTTACTTTTTATTTAATGTTCAGTTCATTAAAAATATTATTTTTCTAATAGAAATAAATTATCACAAATATTCATTCATTCATACATTATTTAAAAATTATTTTTTGAATTTTATTCACTTTATATTTTTTAAATTCATTTAAAAATTTTTTTATTCATTTTATATTATTTTTATTCATTTTTTCCTTCTAAGACTTTAATTTGATAAAAACAGTTTATTTATTTTGGATTATGAAATTTCTATTTATAAAAATGAATTTAAAACTATTAAACTCTTTAATTTGCTTATAAGCTAGCTTTTTATTAGATTTAATCTTTTTATTTTTTATTTTACTTGTGTTTGTCTTTCTTCTATCTTTCTAAATAACTGATTAATTATATAATTTTCTTCAATATTTAAAAAGGTACAATTACATTGGTGATAAAGGTACTTCAGGCTTATTTTCTGCCTTAGCAAGTTGCACTAATCTCTCAAATTTGACACTTAATCTTTCGTAAATACAGTTTATTCGTTTTGGACTGTGATTTTTCTATTTATAAAAATAAATTTAAAACAATTAAACTCTTTTAATTTGTTTATTAGCTTTTTACTTGATTTATTAATCTTTTTATTTTTTATTTTACTTGTGTTTTTCTTTCTTCTATCTTTCTAAATAATTTATTAATTATATAATTTTCTTTAATATTTAAAAAGTTACAATTCAATTCGTGATTAAGATACATCAGGCTTAGGTTCTGCTTTAGCAAATTGCACTAATCTCTCAAATTTGACACTTCTACTTTTGTAAAAACAGTTTATTTGATTTGTTTGGATTGTGATATTCTATATATAAAAATAAATTTAAAATAATTAAGCTCTTTTAATTTGTTTATAAGTTTTTATTTGATTTATTAATATTTTTTTTATTGTACGTAAGTACTTGTGTTTATTTGTATTTTTTCTATCATTCTAAATAACTTATTAATTAGATATTTTTTCTTCAATATTTAAAAAGTAAAAATTAAATTGGTGATTAAGGTCTTTCAGGCTTAGGTTCTGCTTTAGCAAATTGCACTAATCTCTCAAATTTGACAATTGATCTTACGTAAAAATAAATAGTTTATTTGTTTTGTTTGGATTATGATATTTCTTTTTATAAAAAAGAATTTAAAATAATTAATATCTTTTAATTTGTTTATTAGTTTTTAATTAAATTTTTAATCTTTTTCTTTTTATTGTACATACGTACTGTACTGTGTTTATTTGTATTTCTTCTTTCTATCATTCATTCTAAACAACTCATTGAATATATATTTTTTCATCAATATTTAAAAAGTAGAAATTAAATTGGTGATTAAGGTACTTTTGGCTTAGGTTCTGCTTTAGCAAATTTCACTAATCTCTCAAATTTGACACTTGATCTTAGGTAAAAACTGCTTATTTATTTACGATTGTGATATTTCTTTTTATATAAAAGAATTTAAAATACTTAATCTCTTTTAATTTGTTTATTAGTTTTTAATTAATTAAATTTATTAATCTTTTTCTTTTGATTGTGCAAACGTACTTGTGTTTATTTGCATTTTTTCTATCATTCTAAATAACTTATTGATTATGTATTTTTTCTTCAATATTTAAAAAGTGAAAATTAAATTGGTGCAAGTGGTGCATCAGGCTTAGGTTCTGCTTTAGCAAATTGCACTAATCTCTCAAATTTGGCACTTTATCTTAGGTAAAAACAGTTTGTTTGTTTTAAATTGTGAGATTTCTATTTATAAAAATGAATTTAAAACAATTAAACTCTTTTAATTTGTTTATTAGCTTTTAATTAATTGGATTTATTAATCATTTTCTTTTATGTTTGTTTGCATTTCTTCTTTCTATCTTTATAAATTACATATTAATTTTTTTTTCTACAATATTAAAAAAGTGACAATAAAATACTTGCAATAGGTGCATCAGACTTAGGTTCTGCTATAGCAAATTGCATTAAACTCTCAAATTTGACATTTTAACTTTCGTAAAAACAGTTTATTTGTCTAGGATTGTGATATTTCTATTTATAAAAATAAATTTAAAACAATTAAACTCTTTTAATTTGTTTAAAAAACTTTTAATTAGATTTATTAATCTTTTTCTTTTTATTGTCTTGTGTTTATTTATATTTCTTCTATAATTCTAAATAACTTATTGAAAAACTATTTTTTCTTCAATATTTAAAAAGGGGAAATAAAATTGGTCCAAGTGGTGCAAAAGGCTTAGTTTCTTCTTTAGCAAATTGCATTAATCTCTCAAATTTGACACTCGGTCTTCGGTAAAAACAGATAATTTGTTTTGTTTGGATTGTGATATATTTCTATTTATAAAAATAAATTTAAAATAATTAAACTCTTTTAATTTATTTATTAGATTTTAATTAGATTTAATTTTACTTTTTTATTATCATTGTCTTTATTTGTATTTCTTCTATCTTTCTAAAGAACTTATTTATGATATTTTTTTCTACTATATTTAAAAAGTTACAGTGAAATTGGTGCAAGTGGTGCATAAGACTTAGGTTCTGCTTTAGCAAAAAATTGCACTAATCTCTCAAATTTGACACTTGAACTTTAGTAAAAACAGTTTATTTGTTTTGTTTTGATTGTGATATTTCTATTTATAAAAATAAATTTAAAACAATTAAACTCTTTTAATTTATTTTTTATATTAATTAATCTTTTTCTTTTTATCGTAAGTACTTGTGTTTATTTGTATTTCTTCTATTTTTCTAAATAACTTATTAATCATATTTTTTTTCTTCAATATTTAAAAAGAGGAAATTAAATTTGTGATTAAAGTACTTCATCCTTAGGCTCTGCTTTAGCAAACTTAACTAATCTCTCAAATTTGACACTTAACCTCTGGTAAAAACAGTTTATTTGTTTACAATTTATATATTTTTATTTATAAAAATGAATTTAAAACAATTAAACTTTTTTAATTTGTTTATTATGTTTTAATTAGTTTTATTAATCTTATTATTGTACATACTTGTGCTTATTTGTATTTCTTCAATCATTCTAAATAACTTATTAATTATATATTTTTTCTTCAATATTTAAAAAGTGACAATAAAATTGGTGCAAGTGGTGCATCAGACTTAGGTTCTGCTTTAGCAAATTGCACTAATCTCTCAAATTTGACACTTAAATTTTAGTAAAAACAGTTTATTTGTTTTGTTTTGATTGTGATATTTCTATTTATAAAAATAAATTTAAAACAATTAAACTCTTTTAATTTATTTTTTATATTAATTAATCTTTTTCTTTTTATCGTAAGTACTTGTGTTTATTTGTATTTCTTCTATTTTTCTAAATAACTTATTGATTATATATTTTTTTTTCAATATTTAAAAAGTTTCAATTAAATTGGTGATTAAGGTACTTCAGGCTTAGGTTCTGGTTTAGGAAATTGCACTAATCTCTCAAATTTGACACTTAACCTTAGGTAAAATCAGTTTATTTGTTTTGTTTGGATTGTGATATTTTTATTTATAAAAATGAATTTAAAAGAATTAAACTCTTTTAATTTGTTTATTATGTTTTAATTAGTTTTATTAATCTTTTTCTTATTATTTCACATTCTTGTGCTTATTTGTATTTCTTCAATCATTCTAAATAACTTATTAATTATATATTTTATCTTCAATATTTTAAAAGTGAAAATTAAATTGGTGATTAAGGTACTTCAGGCTTAGTTTCTGCTTTAGCATATTGCACTAATCTCTCAAATTTGAAAATTGTTCTTAGGTAAAAACAGTTTATTTGTTTAGTTTGGATTGTGATATTTTTATTTATAAAAATGAATTTAAAACAATTAAACTATTTTAATTTGTTTATTAGCTTTTAATTAATTAATTAGATTTATTAATCTTTTTCTTTTTATTGTACATACTTACTTGTGTTTATTTATATATATTTCTTCTATCATTCTAAATAACTTATTAATTATTTTTTTTTTTTCAATATTTAAAAAGTAGAAATTCAATTAATACAAGAGGTGCATAAGGCTTAGGTTCTGCTTTAGTAAATTGCAAAAATCTCTCAAATTTAGAACTTGATGTTAGGTAAAAACATTTAATTTCTATTTATAAAAATGAACTTATTTAAAAGAATTAAACTCTTTTAATTTGTTAATATGCTATTAATTAGATTTATTAACCTTTTTCTTTTTATGTTTGTATTTCTTCTATCTTTCTAACTAAATAACTTTTTAATTATATATTTTTTCTTCAATATTTAAAAAGTCAAACTTTAATTGGTAAAATTGGTCCATTATACTTATTTTATGCTATAAAAAAATGCACTAAACTCTCAAATTTGACACTTACATTTTGGTAAAAACAGTTAGTTTATTTTGGATTATGATAATTCTATTTTTAAAAATAAATGAATTTAAAACAATTAAACTCTTTTAATTTGTTTATTTATTAGCTAGCTTTTTATTAGATTTATTAATCTGTTTCTTTTTATTGTACATGTGTTTTTATTTCTTTTATTTTTCATAGTTTGTTTCACTCATTTATTTTTAATATTTTCTTTTATTATTTGTTAATTAATTTCATATTTTTTCTTTTTTTTTTCTTTCTAATTAACTTATTATATATTTTTTCTTCAATATTTAAATAGTTGTGATGAAGTTTGTGATTCCGGTG